TTTGTATGGATTGTATGGATGTAGGAAATTGGCACACGGGTTTAGCATGGAAAGTTGTGTATATGACCACGATAACCGATACGTCCACGCATATCACCAGTGGTTGTGGTAGTATTGTGGCGGCCAGCCATCATGACCGGCGTGGCGTCATTGTTTAAGACCTCGCTGCCTCAAGGTCATCCACCCTTTTACAGTGAGCCGTTCGAGACGCGCTGACCTGAAGTCACACGACCGACAGATCGGGCACACCTGCGTCCTCACATTGTCGCGGCTACCCATGCGCCCACTTGAATGCACCTCCCCCCTGCAACCGCAACCTAAGCCACTGGGACACCACCCCGCGGCAAATGCAGCACACACTGACTGGACGCCACTTGAGCTTGGCCCAAGAGCCTACAAAAGCGGCTACCACCACTGTCTCAGGGATTCTCAGGCAGAACTGGACGCCAGTAGCCACTGCAGCCTGATAGGACAACTCCGAGTTCTGGGCACAACAAACCCCTCATTCTGGTGCCTTCCGTCTTCTCCTTCCAATCTGGGATTTGACTTGATATTTGCAGCTCACAGACTACACACCTTCTCACTGCTGTGCCGCTACAGTATCCTATCATTGGAACACGATAGATATGGGGAGCTGGAGTAATGAAAATGTCGCAGAACTTCCCCCCACTAAGCCAACTGATAGTTAAGCCGTCGTTTGCGAAGGGAGATAGACCTAGTTGAATGAAAGTACTTCAGTGAATTCCAACATCTCCACTAGAACTACGTTTGACAGGTGTGCATTATGCATCAAACAGGCCAGGGACGAGGTAACATCCAGCAAACGTAATCACATGATGAAGCCGCAGTATGCCAGTTGTCGTCTTTTCCCAACAAGGGGCATATGATTAGAGAGAAAATTTTCGTACTGAGGTGACCGGAGATCGGATAGCAACTCAGACGAACTGCAATACCAAACTAACTTTTGTCGAGGAAGCCCAAGAGGTATGCTCAGGCAGTTTTATCCCCGTCCAGATGTTTTTCATTGGTGAAAAACCGGAGGCCTGGGGTGGCTATGACTGGCTGATGGTGGCAAATAAGCCGGAAATGGCCATAACAGTCTCTCGTCCCTTTGTTGGTAATCTCCCTCCGCAAACGGTTTGTTGAATGCAAGCGAGAAATAAAGAAAAAAATTCGAGGATAACGAATGCACCTGAAATAAAGGAAGCATAATTAACGTGTAAATACTTGATGGATCCTTGAAACTTGTTTTACATGAACACGATTTCCTCAGTTGCCGCAGCGACTTATTAAATGCCAGAAGACAACCTACTTATTGTTGTAAGTAGCATATTTTAAGTAATGTAATTTATCCAGAATGTGCGTCCAGGTTTCAGGTGTCTGAAATATGCCAGTCACCAACAAACTCTGAAAAAGTTAGAGTTTGCTTTCAAAAATGCAGCAGTATGCAGCCTGTTTTAGAGTGGCAGTCTATCCCTGTCTTCGACAGCCCGCCGAGAGAGGAAAATAGCTAGCACATCAACTCTGACGTATGCCATCTCCAACCTGCACCAATGACCAGAAGGTTTGTCGTCGCCACCGCTTTCAAAGTCGTTGAATTAAAGCACGCGACACATTACTCCACCGCTTTAAGAACCATGATCACATCAACTCTCTGCTGCCTGGTAGAAAGAAAAACAATGTAGGCTTTCTAACAGGTTGGGGACGTTATCCACTGACTAGGTTCGTAGGGTTCCTTTCGCGCTCTCTAAGAGAGTACCATTATGATCACTCCATGGGTGCACACCTGAAGCCGGTGCTCTAAGATAAGCCGAAAAAATGGTCAAGAACGCTGTCTTGCTAGTCACATAGAAGGGTATTTCAGGGGTCGGAGTAGACAACACACCAAGATACCTTAGCTGGGTAAATAATTTAGGTTGATGATTTCCGATGCAGAGTATCAAAGGTCACTTCTGCTGATGCTGGATCACTGGCAATTAAAGTTGCATTTCTTAAAGCGAGAATTCGGCAGCCATTCGACGCAATCACTTTTTTTAAACTTTAGTGTAGTCTTCGGTCCTCCTGTTTCCGGCTTTAATTTGAGCAAATCAGTAAACATTGTTTTTTCGCCGTCCGGTCTGTTGAGGCAGTTGATAACTTACAGAAGACGACGCATCTCTTGGCATTTTGACTGAATTTCTGAATTGTGATGTGGGTTAGGTCTCATCTAGGTGGGATGGCAATATTTATTGTCATGCAGCATGACCACAAGATATTTTAGTCCCGCTAGGACGACGACTTTTGACTACGCGTCTTTTCGGTCGCCTGAAAAAACCAAGTTCGTTAAAGCATGCCTACGTAAGCAGTGTGATTAGTTGCCTGGCGAATTTTATGAGAAAAGCATGCTTTTTGCGTTTGTTTTTGTACTAATTTTGTGGAAATGTTTCATTTCAAGAAACGCCATACACTAGTTCTAAAATTCATTTTAATTTCCGAATAATTTTGAGTCCGACCACCCAAATGTTGATGATTTTCAAACTATAAACAGAGTACTTTGCATTTAAGAAAAATGAAACAGTCCCCAACGCCATCTGGAGGTTACCATATGGGCCTCACAAAATTTGGCAATGGATGTGAAGGATGTTCAATGAGAGTCCGATCATCGATTCTGACCATGTTCACTTAGTGCCGCACAGCAGACATGGAGCAGGGACGGGGACTTGCGCGTGAATCAATTTATCGTGAGAATGGACTTGTACAGCATCTACAGCGCTCCATCTTCCTCCATCTACCTATACCCGGTGTGAAAACAATCAAGAAAAGCGGGGGCGGGAGAGGGCGCAGGTGGACGGCGCAGCTAGACCCACACCTTGGCGATCCCCTTCACAGCCCCTGGCCCACAACAAACACCTGACCGGGATTTTGACCAACAACAACAAAAACAGAAATGGCGTGGATGACTGGGCAGCCATGCTCACGACCTGTATACCCGGGGGGAGCGCAAGCGCATCTACCGCCAGAGGACCAGGTAACGGAGAACTGCTAACGCACGCCAGGCTGGGATTGTAGAGTTGCGCGACATCTGCTGCACTATCTCCTCCTTCTCACACCTAGGTCCGGTTTCAAGACAAAGTCAAGAAGGCCGGGGACGGGAGGGGGAGGCCCAGGCGGCTAGCATAGCGAAAACCCGCACCTAGGCGTGCCACCACACCCCCTGGTTTACCTCGAAACTAGGAGGGTTTCATACAGTAAGAAAAGGGGGGCGGTTCGGATTCCAACTGAGTGAGAGTGTCGCGTTGAGAGGGAGCCATCGCGGTCTGACTTTTAGTACACCAATCAGCCACTCAAAAAAAACACAACAGGACTGCGAGGCGATAGGGACGGGATAGCACACTGCTCACTTGCGTGAGATTTGCCGGTGAAATGAGATGTCGGAGGTGCTTATGTGTGGCGTGGGTGTTGACAGGGAAATGTGTGGTGCTGGGATCATACCTGCGGTGATTGCGCGCAGGTTTTCATGAGGGCGCACGCGAATGAATGTGTGTGGACAGTTTGGACAGTGAAGGCGAGTCCGACGAGTTTATGTCGAGGCTCCTGCAAAAGAGTTTGACCATGTCCACCGGGTGCTCCACAGCAAGATGAAGGAGGCACGGCCACTTGCGCGTTGATTAGTTAATAGTGAGAGTGAACTTTCCCGGCACCTACCGCAATTCATCAACTTCCGAAGGTGGGTCCCGTGTCAAGACATAGTAAAGAAGACCGGAGGTGGGTGGTACGACCGGGCCCGCACCCAGGCATACCTCCTGGTCAACAACAAACACTTGACCAGGATTTTAATCAAAAACGAGACGCTAAAACGGACCAGAAAGACGACGAGGATGACTGAGCAGCCATGCTCACGACCTACAGTAGGTGAGCTAACTCGTGAAATGTCAACCGAAATTCCGAAATACGTTCTCGCTTCTCCGACTTCGTATAAAACAACCATCTTCCGAAGAATATTTGAGGCAAAGAGTGAGTACGCGATAGCTGCCAGAGTTTTCATTACAAATCTAATTGGAGAATAAATTCAGGGCATCGATCGACGAGTTTGAAGCAACGGAACATGCGATCGGTGGGGGGCAAATGTCCCAGTCGACAGACACAAAATCCTCATTGCAGGATGACACGTTCAGGGCGTAGACTGTGCGTTCCCGAAGTCACGGCCTGACACGTGTGACGGCCTTATCATCAACGGTCCTGCCTGCCGATGGGTAAAAGAACCGACAAAAAGAGCCCTCGAGGATGGACGGCAATCACGAAACATCAGCCCAGGCTTTTAACGTTGATGCTCCGGCCTTACTTACTTCCCTAATTAAAATTTATCTCAGTGTTTGAAACTCGTGCATAAAATGAGCATGTACGCCCGTGCAGAGACTGGCTTAGGAATCGGCCTAATCTTAGCTAGTTGAGATGATACTTTTGCTTATCAGCCTCTACATACTGTTTTAAATAGAGCTTTAACTTTAGAGGTACATATCAGGAGAAAAAAATATTAGGTTAGGAGGGTAGAAATTGATCGGTTAATGTTCACTAATCAGCCTGAATCGACTTGAAATGTTAATGTAGACATTTAAATGATTTCGAGAGGAGTCAGTCAATCGAGAAAGGAACTAACTCGATAGCCGAACTGAACCTGCGTTTTTCGACAATAAAAAGCGTTATGCGTGCGTACGTTCTAAAAGACCAAAGGCCCTCCCGGCCAGCTACAACTTTCGATTAGGCTATTTGCTCGTTACTCACTATAGACGTTTAGTTTAAGGCCTATCTTCGTGCAGTACAACGGAATAACGGTGTATAACAGTGAAAAATATTGGGGAAACACAACAACACGGCACTGTCTTTACAAGATCCATATAACGAGACAAGTCTTCTTGGTAAATAGCAAGTTTTCAGAAGTTCCCGCAAATATGGAAAGATTGTCTTGAGCAAACTGTAGTTAGTGTCATTCTGGAGACGCCGAGCTGGGAGGTAAACGAGATTCAGCCTCCTAAGGATTGATGTCCCTCCTCCTGCTGCAGTTGTTGACGATAATCCTGCGGATTCGTGCAAACCGGCCCCGGGCTCGTGCACACAGCCGGCCCATTCGCGGGGCCGTAGGCTGTGCAGTGGGAGTTAGAGAACTGCTGGAATTCCGGCATCGGTGAGTAGCCCGTCATCATGTTCTGGAAATTTCGCCATTGCAATAGATTGAGCGCAGAGTCCGCCAGATATCCAACTAAAGTTAAGAATGAAAAGGATGATAGCACTGACTGCGTGTCGCGCAAAAACACCATAGAGCTGTTTAAACTCGAGCAACGTGGAAGCTGTTTTTATTTTCCTAATATTACTCAGCAAATAAAATTAAGGGAAATAGAAAGAGACCCCATGATTGTCTCAGAGCAGAGCCGGGAAAATAAAACTGCCAGATCTTTTAAGTCAAAAAACGATTTTAAACCCAAATACTTGAAAGACAGATATCTTAAAGGGCTCTTCGACACAACACAGAGTCCAGGAATCTTGATCAATTACGAAAAATGCCATAAGACAACGGCCTCTTTGGGGACCAGGCCCACGTACAAAGACTATAAGGTCAAATATATTTTTAGACTGCAGCACGCTAAATTTCTGTCAGTTCCCCCCAGTCACTTTTGAAAACCTCACGAAAACAATATGGGCTCCAAAAATTACATATTTTCTTGCCACTATTTTGACGCCTGTACAGACGCAGCTACGTTTTTCGGAAACAAGGGACAGAGTCTTAACTTGAAGGTCTCTGTAGAAAAAGAAGTCCTTTTGCAAATCCGCAAGGCATGTCATTAACCTTCTAAATTTTCTAGTTGATTTTTAGGACGCATAATCAAGCATACGTTGACAGCTTTTGGTTTCTTTTAAAGCGCATGTTGATTTTTCAGATCAGTTATGATGTTTCAGAGTCATATAATGTTATTCTACTTTTCCTAAGTATTGCGTAATTTGATTTTAAACATGTTTCCTGGGCAGTTTTGGGGTTCGAGACCATTTAAAAACATAGTGTATGCTCCAGAAATATACGTACTTTCAAGCTTACAAAGCCACGTTACACAATGAATTCAACCACCAAACTCAAATAAGGTGGTTTTCTCTAATCATTTTTATACTAGACGCTTGTTGGCTAGGTCCAAAGAAATTTGTTTTAAAAGGGAATGGTGAATTATAAGTGGCTTCTCCCAGAGAAGGTGGTCTCAGAAGGGTTGAAACGATCATCGTTGAGAAGGCAACATGACATGGTAAACAATGGCTAGGTTTCTGTAGTCATTTTAAAGGAATTTGAAATATACAGAACACTCGATAGCCGACTGAACTGGACAAATGCAGTCAGAAGATAGAGCAATAATCAGACGTCCAGTGGATTCGATTTTGAGATAAAAATGACCACTGTCTTGCATAACTGCACTCAAGTCACTACATCGATGAAAAGAAATATAAAACAGCACTAGCAAATAACCCAGTTCTTTCGCATTTTCAACGATGCAAGAAAAAATAAAGGGTCTACTGAGAGCATTGGGATATGGGTAGAAAAAACAAGGTATGAAACCCGTCTTGAGGAAGTAATTTAGCTGTTCAAAGCGTTTAAACAACTTCTGATTGATTGAAGCACTTCTGACAACAGTAATATGTAAGACTTTAATTACGAGTCTTGAGTCTTCTTTGCATCTTTAAGCCTAAACTTTCCTGTCACCAACCAAATGTGTTTGTATTGTTCTAAAAAAGTATAAAACACAAAGTTTAATCGACTTAGAAACAGATTCTATCACGATAGCTGCGGTTCAGGCAATACAAATGCGCAAATAAAATCGTAGTTATCATTTGTACGAGATGGTTTACAGACCATAAAAGCATATAGATCCGATGCAAGTCGCTCATGTGATTCCAAAAAATATGTAAATAGAAGATGAAACCAACCATTAGGGGAATTCTAGACCAGAACACTTACAACCAGAACGCTGATCGCATTACACGAGTTTTGAACTGCCTGCTTGCATGTGCATTCGACATCAAGACAGTTCTTAATGTTTCCGGCAGTTTTTATGTTAAAGACAGAGCAAGTTAAAGAACTGGGGAAGGTATACTTCCAATATTGCTACGCAAGAAGGTGCGACCATGTCTGTTAGTCCATCTGGAGAAAAGCATATATAATGTCGTCTACAGAAGACGGTATTCGAAAAGACTGTGCGCTCACAAACGTCAAAACACTAGTAAGAGAAAAGGCACTGTCGGTTCGTAAGTTTTCTCTGCACCCTGTAAAAACCTATCGGCCTTTATTTTATCCTATTATCAAACATAAATCCTATCAGATCAACAGAAGTTGAGTAAACTAGTGAACCAACTGAAATCACTGCATAGCTGATTCACACCATCTGGGCAAAAAATGTATGGTCAGACTTTGGTTTAGAAACAACTTACATTTGGCAAGATGTTGCTGCTGAAGGAGTTTCTGCATGATAAAAGGTTGAAAGTGAGGACGGCTAAACAGCTTGTTGGGATTCGAAAAAGCTAAAGAGGGGAAGAACCGGTCGTACAGGCGATTATATCCGCCATTAATGGGAAAGTTCATGTTGACCTGAAAAGGCAATGCCTGACAGGAATAAGAGTTTTCCGTGTTTTGTCTACAAGGAGTAACTATTAAAAGACTTTACTCTGCGAATTTGGAGTCGTCGTTCTCTTGACCATGATCTGGGAACGCGTTACAGTGTGGAGCCTGATACTGCTGCTCAACATCTGGAAGAATTATAACGAAAAATACTTACCGTTATCAGGCTGAACACTTGGGTCAGATTCAAGGTTACCCGAAGATTCCATATTTTGGCTGATAAATGCGTTGGCTGACGCAGCATTTGTCTTCGTAAAATACGCTTAGTAGAAAAAATATTGTCTTACAATAGCACGAATCCACCGGAAAGCCTAAAAATTGTTAGTATAACAGAAAACACACGTTATTTCCGAGGTTTTCGGGTGGGAAAACGTGTTGCGGAACATGACTGGGAACTTTTTCGTCGAGAGCTGGTACTATGGGTGAATCTTCAGCGACCTTGCTTTTGGTCTCATCCACAGGTCCGGATCTCGAAGCCACTGGAGTTCCATTACGAGTCAGTCTTTCAGTTTCTTCGTTATTTGAGTGGTCTGATGATTGAAACCCCTTTAGATGGTTAGCTTGGGTCTATTAAAGTGTAAAAACCAAAAAGTGAGAACTTTTACTAAAATTGGAGAGACGCTCCTGTCCAAATTTATGCCGACCATCTCTAGCAACTTGTAGTAGCCAGTCATATCGTTGTCGCTCTCATAATTGGCACTCCTTACGCGGAGTTCAAGTTCTATCTCACGAAGAGTGTGAATTTTCGTTTTTTCTTTTAATGTCGTAAGCTAATATAGTCATACCAGAAGCCTTTTGTAAGTTGCCAGACTTATTGTTGAATGGCTCAGATAGAACCACATTAACCGCATCATCTGGTCCCGAACTTCTGTTGCTTTTGCCGCATACGTCTTTGTGGTCTTCGGTCTCGATCTTTGCGGCCTCTACAAAAAATTGTCAACCGAAACCAAATTTACCTTGGAATTCTGGACTGCTTTCTTCGCCCCTGCCACCAATACTTGCCAGTCGGTGTGGTGGCATCCTTAGATCATCAAGTTCAATTTGTTCGTCTGCATTGGATGGACCTTCGGTAAACCACTGTGGTTTAACCTGAGACTAGAAGCAATTGGATATCGAAAAATGCCAGCAAACACTATGATGTGTATTTGAGTATTCTCTGACATCTTGGCGTTTATCATCACAGGTCTTCTGCGGTGTTTTAAAAGACGCAGCACGGAAACCTGACGATTGAGAGCCGCCAGGATATCTGTCAGTAGCAAAGCTTTTAGGGCCAGAAACACCGAAAGAGGAGTTACGTTGACCTTTTAATGAAGTAAACTAAGTAAACATACCATATTTACGAGAAGCAGTTTCTGAATTTTCAAAACGGACACTCCTTGGCTTGACTGCTTTTCTCTTGATAAGTCGGTCATCGAAGAAAACAGGCTGTTCCATCGATGCTGGCGCATTCCTAAGCTTAAGGAGTTCATCCTAAATAGCTCAAAGGGAAACGAGGAAGAACCCTTGTATAAGCCCTTCTATCGCGCCGTGTTTGTTTGACAATAATAGACTTAATTGCATCATCGAGAAGAGTTATTTGCATTGTCATGATGAACTCAACACGGAAACAGATACATAAATTAAAATCCCCCCTTCAGAATCAAGAGAGTTAGAACAAGAATTTTTTCAGAATGTGTCCTGAATTCGCGATGCTGGACTCCGTCAAAATTATCCCATGAGAAATATATTGACGTGGTTTTAAAACACATTTAGCAAAGGGGTTTCTGACACAAGTTGCTTAAATTTTTAAACTCGAAGACGATTCCGGTGAAGTATTCTCTATCTACAAGGCTTGCAACAAATAAATGACGTCACCTTTTCTAAAAATTCGTAGGAAGATAACGCTTCTTTTGAGGCTTTAGGCGTTAGGGAGAACTTGCAGTAGGGGTGTTATGGCGTGACAGCTAACGGAGCAAGACACGACTAAATATTTTGTCAAAAGGAAGGGAAGTAGCTAAAAAAAATAGTATGTTAATTAAGGCAGGCATAAAAGAGAGCAGAAGAACGAAACTTTATACGAAAATACTTAATATTATGCATCATTCATCTGAGAAACTTCGGAAATCAAGTATACACAGCAATTTTTGTTCTTTTCTTTTTCTCAAGGTACTCATTGCACCCCGGGTATAAGGAAAAATGCTATTATAGAGGACGTAGTCCTGCTTGTATCACCTCGCTTTGTGCTGAGCATTAAGTCTTGTCATGAGAGCCTTTAGAGTGGTATATTTTTCATACTCAAAATTCGTTTGATTGTTAGAAAGATTGAGCTTTGTTGTCAAATATCTTGAGTGGCTGACGAGACCGGTTGTTGCACAGTCGCCTATTTGAATAATATGAAACACTTTTCTTACATTCAGGAGGAGTAGAACAGTTTGGAACTATATTCCAGCTCGTGAGCAAAAAACTCAGCAACTGACTCCGAAGTGGCTGCTAAGGTTGCCAGGCAGTTCTAAGGAAAACGCTGTGAAACGCCGGGTTTGCCTTTTGTCCAACGTACGTGTGCGATCAGTATAAGTCTTGAGGTTTTGTACTTGAGTTACTGGGAAATACCTGTGGCCGTCGGACTACTTCGGTTATGACACAGCCAGCTCCAGATAGGGTCAAAATTAATGCTAAAGAGGTGCATACTGTTCATATATTTTGACTTTTTCCATACAGAATGTTCGAAACCATAAAAATTAGAGCTCTAGATATTTTTGGAAACAAACGTTCACCAATTTTCATTAAGCAGCGTTGCCGTGCTCCACTTGACGCCTGCCAATTTATAAATTACCTGTAAGCTATTGAACGCCTTTCTGGAAACCAACAAGCGTAATCTTCTAAGACGTTTGGTGCATAACAATTTTTTAAGTGTTCCTGAACATGAGTATCTGAAAGTTCGACCTACGTTTATGAGTTGACCCAATGCCCTTTGCTTTGACTTAGATTTCTGAGACGAAACGCTCGCTTTTTGCCGCCAGCTTCAAAGTCAACACAACCAGAGATCTGACTAATGACTTTTCTACAACGATAACATTTGTTTTGAGGGTCCATGTGGGTATTGTCAAGGTAAATAAAAAGCATTCAGAATTAAATATCCGAACGGATAACCAAGGCTGTCGGTTTGGAAATGGACCACAGCCAGTTTGATTTCATCCGCTCTGTTGAACAGGTTTTGTAGATTTGTGCAAAAACTTTATCACATTACCTTTTATTTCGATCTTTGGAAGTTGTTTATTAATTCTTGCGTCCAACAATTAATGCCGGGTATTTTATATAACGCATCTAGTCTATTGCCTGATCTCGAATCCACAGATATTTGATGAAACTGGAGGCCAACGAATTTTACCATCAATTGTACCGGAAGATTTTCAAATTGGACGCACGCTTGTTTGCGTCGCCGACGAAACGCGGCGGCGACAAAGTGCGAAGACATGCTAAATATAAAAAATATGCAAAATATGGATCCACAGAAATGACCTAACTTGAATGTGAGAGATACGATAGTTAAGGGGAAAAAATGTCGTTCATGAAAGTAGAGTGGATACCAATAAGACTGAACATCCATGCCGATGAGAGTCAGTGGGGATTCAAAACGCTTCCCACCAAAAGATAAGCAGCAAACCGGAAGAGGCTAACTGTGCATACAAATCGCAGTAGATGCAATCACAATATTTCATTGCTGACCAAGGAAACCGCCGACAAGGCGGTAATACGGAGGAATCCATCGTGATCTTTAAAAGTTTGCTTAGGGCGAACGCAGGAGGAAACGTTAAAGGCCTAGAGGATCATCGCTGGGGAGGGGGGGAGGGACAATACTAGCGCATTTAGCAACCTAGGGAGTCCTTAGGATTAGGCGAAAATGTCTAAATAAACAAGTAACAGAAGCTTGGACACATTATCTAATTCCT